TTATTCAACCTTAGAGCATGTGTAACCAAATACTTTGGAGCAAAATGACTCGGAATTCAGAGTTTGAACATGTTAGCAAGTGAATGAAATCCAAAAGGGGAAGGATTTGTTTTCGTATCACTGACCTTTCCTCGTAACCTCGTTACCAGTTTCCTCGTCCAGTTTTGTTTAGTTTCGTGCGATTTGAAGGCCTATGTAATTCAAAATTTATGACGTGATTTAGATTTTCTGAATTAAGCAGCTGCCTTTATCGCAGATTTTACTACTAAAGAAAGTAACCTGACACTAATTCCACGCACAGCTACACTCGTGCATTCAACTGTCAACAAAGTAAAGAGAGAGAATTCAGTCTTGAATCAATATTGGTTCAGTGTTGATCGATGTCCATTTTTTATTTTGGTGTCGCTATACCATGCTTCCTTCCAATTTATAATGCAACAAAGGATTTGAGATCTGTAAAGATTGTGTACACGCGCGCGGTGCATGCACTACCCAGGGGGTACTCCTAGAAAAGTTCGGAGGGGTGTGCGGCCCACTTCCCAAAACCCTTACGCTATTTGTGACCAAAATCTGCGGTTTTTGCTACCCTATTTATGGCCTGGCCAAAAATTCGATACCCTATTTATGACCGTTGCGGCTGGCACAGTTGCCCTGAACATAAATTATGAAGGGCTTTTGCTGACGTTCTTATTGATAAAATGTTTAAGCAAGCAACCGGAAAGATAATCCTGCTGGTATACGTTGGAACAGTAGTGATCTAATCGGCTTCACATATAAAATGAATACAAAAGCAAAAACCGACACAACGTAGGATGATTTTTTGAAGGTGTACTATATTTCGGCTGGCCAAACCAGCCTTCTTCAGTTACAATGAGAATTTTACATTGGGACGTATTTTAATGTAGCATATTTTCGTAATACCGGAAATACGTAAAACTAATTGACAGTGTAAATTAAAGATAAGCATACGGTAAAATAAGATAACATAATAAAAGAACGTAATAAAAGGAAACAAATGGAAACAATTAATATGTTTCTTCACGGATGTTCAGACCATCAGGATCAATTTTTCTGCCTTTTTGAATTAAAAAAAGCTTCTCTGGCGTCACGGATATAGTTTAGGTTCGAAAAGATTTTTTCGATGGGGATTAATGTTTAAGGAATAAAAGTAATTATATGAAAAAAATGAGACGATGTGGAAATTATTTGTGGAAGAAAAACACTTTTCGAGCGTACAGTCTGGTAGCACTTGTTCGACTCCAAACGCGAGACATCAGTTTATTCACAATGGTCGGCCCTCTCGCAAAATACCCTGGTCAGCGGAATTCCACCAAAAAAATTGTTTACGACCTAGCGACGGACGGACTGACTGATCGAGGAAGCGAATTATTTCTTCCCCAACTAACTGCTATAACTCATTCTAGCTGCGCTATCACTCGTTAATAATTACTTATTAACCGAGAGTGGATCTTAACGGGAAAATCTCAGACCGAGACATTGCCGTATTGACCGAGCGATAGCGAGGTGAATAAGGCATGGCCGAAGTCTGAGAGTTTCCCGTAAAGACCAAGCGTTCGAGGTTAATAAGTAGCTTTTTATATGGCTTTTGCAGGTTCATAATCGGCTAGAATCCCCTTATAGACGAGTACGTCCAAAAATGGTTTCACTGACTGTTAGCTGGGAGTTGCAACATGAAATTATGACGTCATAAGACGCCATCTTAAACTCGCAAACTTGGATTTCTTGATTTTTCAAAAATGTCAGAAAACCATAAAAAATGAAGCGAAAACTAATCGTTATCAATATCACAATGCCTAAAGCTCCTGGGCGGGAGAAATGGTAAATATTGTGAAATTAAAGTTATAATAACTGACTTTATTACATGGCTAGCTCTGTGAGCGGGCAAGACGAACTGAATCCTGTGCTGTTATTGTGGCAACACGAGGGGGCAAGTTGGGGCTATCTTGCCCGCTCGGGACTATAGTTTTTCCCACTCCGTCTCGGTCCATATACACGCAAAGAACTTTTCCAATATTCAGCTATCTTGACCAAACAAGCTTATTCAATAACCCATATATAGTCAGCAATAGAATATCCGTACCCATCTCATTCTCCCTTGGAGTTTTCTTATATCAGTCTAGTCACCGTTGCTAGAATCTAATAAAATATGCCAGTAACAAGACAGTATGTACCAATAGCAATAAAAATGCAAATGACTGATGTAATTTGAAAGCCATCTAACCACAAGAACATTTACGTTAATGGAAATGTTAATGCCATCATTCACTGTAACAAACTTTTTGTGTTGAAATTCTCCTCGTTTTTGGCTTTCTCTCTTGCGCTTTTAATCATAACTATGTTCCTGGGTTGGACATTTTCACTGTATATAAATTAGGCTGTTCTTAGGCTCAAAAAACTGGACTTAACTAGCGAAAATGTAATTCCTTTTTAGGGTTGATCGGATCTTCAATTCCGTGGTTGCAAATCAAGTGCTCGTAGATTTTCATGATCCAATGATCAGTAGATTAAGACTGGCCCAGGGCGTTTCCCATTAAACGAAAAATTCCTAAAATTTCGAAATGGGGACAAATGGTAAGGAAAAAGTTTCCAGAAAATCCAGAAATTGAATTTCCGAAAAGCGAACCACTCAACGGAAAATTCCAGAAATTTCGAGAAGCCAAATGGAACGGAAATTCCCGGTAAGAAGTTTCCGAAAATTCGGTATACCTCGCAAGGTTGTCCTCTTTTCTACAAATTCATGAAAATGCTTTTCCATTCGTCACTGAAAATTTCCGAAAATTCAAATCGGAATGAAAAGCGCCCCCAATAGCGCATGCAGATTTCGTCTACTGAAAAAGCATTTCGGTTCAAACGGTTCCTCTATTCCGATATTCCCAAATTTTATTGTAACAATAGTTATAACCACAACTGGGCTGTCGACGACACCATTCCAGTACTGATGCCTGATTTTCTCAGTAATATTCGTACCCCCATTTCATTTAACACTGTTGATCGAATATTTCTACTTATGGCGAAGTTTTGCTGTATAAAAGCTGTAACAATATGCTTAACGAAACTTACTCAATATCACCTCACATCTTACCATGTTCTAAACAACACATGACATTCTTTAGATCATAATAAAAGGCATTAGAAAACCTAGAAATGAACGCACCAAACAATTTAGCACCCCACTGAGCCGGGGCACCACTCACTCGATGGACATTTGTCCACAAATAGTTTTTCATTTCGCCTCTGTTCAAATTATTTATACTTTGATTCTTACGAACACTGCAAACTGCTATTTAATTATTTATGGCAACCCAGCAGATTACAGAATAAGTGTAAATTCTAATTTGGATTTTCAGTAAGGAAAGGAATAAGAAAATATCGTGCAGTCTCAATAAGATCAAGAGCATGACTCAATGTCGTATTACGTATTCAATATTTTGGAACCGAAAATCTCTCCATATCACTACCTCATCGTTGTTATGATCTTATTCCAATCATTTTTCTGTTTCCTTCTTTACACCGTCGTTCGCCACAGGGAAAGTCTGAATTTCGCAGCATGACGGAAAAGCATGGCCACAATAAATGAGTGATTTCCATTTAAATAAAGGGCAATTCTATTCACAAAAACAGTTAAATCTGATATAGCGGAACACGATTTCGTATTAAATAAAGACGTTGGTCATTGTTTTTATTACCTTCCTCATTGAATGGTGAGGTTTTTTGAAGACCTGTGATGCCGTCAGTGCAATTGGATCTCGTAATTGAAAATTACAAACTACATAACAGCAGGGTTTCGCATATTTCCTCGGAACGATGAGGGACCGAAATTAAATTGCTTTGTAAATCTAAACAGAACTGTGTTGTATTTCTCGGAATTGATTTGCTCTACGATCGCAAGTTTACAAAGGAGATATTCTTTTTGACTGTAAATACATGTCAGCGTATTACAAAACTTACGACCTCCTTCAATATGGACTTGTCAGACATAGGTGAGTCAAGCCTATCATGAAACAGATAACTTCCATTAAGTCAGAATAACGAAGGATCAATTTCATTTAAAAGTTAGAATTAGGGGAAACTTCTCAGTTATGAAGGACTGTGTTGATGTCAGTTCTTTTATGATCAGGTTGAGTCACTCGAGATCACAATGTTATCCTCCGTGACTCCTCCACTTTACTTTAATTTTAGAATGAAAAGACTCCAAGCTTACTACTGGGACACAGAATCCCAATCAAGTCGTATATTTCAAGAGAACAGAATGTCGTTTTAAGTTTTTACGCGTCTATAAGGTGGCAATCTGACTCTAAATTTACAAGATCAGATGATCTATGTAGAATACAATGTTATTAAAAATAAGATGAATTGAAACTAAATTTTATCTAGTACAATTTCTATTGAGAACATGTTAGATAAGTAGGAAAAAAGAACAAAAAAGGTGGTGGTCTTAAACATGATCTACAGCAAAAGCTATGTGAAAACGTTAATTAATTAATAATTCCACAGACATCATGATACTTCCCTCCCCTGGCGCTGAACATTTTCTGCTCTCTTCCTACCCTCCCCTTCTGTTTCGGGAAAGGCGGCCATCACTGACTTTGTCAGTTCAGTGCTAAGCATCTGTAAAACAAGAAACAGTGGCAGTCAAGACTAGCAGCTGCACACAGAACTCTGCCAACATTCATCATCTCCACTGATTTGGCTTACTTTTTTTCTGTATACTAACGGGAATCGATCCAGTTCGTCTTACTGCGCCTTTCAATAACATGCAGACTCTAAATTCAAAGCTCAACCGACAAATGCGTTTTTCGCTACCGCCAATCAAATGTTCAGCGGCTCCTCCCAGCTTCCGACTACTGCCGAGTACTGTTTCGTTGTCTGAATTGTGCTCAGCGATTTGATTACCGCGCGCTCAGCGGTAGTCGGAAGCTGGGAGAAGCCGCCGGACATTTGATTGACGGTAGCGAAAAACGCATTTGTCGGTTGAGCTTGGAATTTTAAACTCCGCATGTTATTGAAAGGCGTAGTAAAAAAAAGGTTCGGACTCAGTGCATTTAGATTACCCAAAATACTGATGCCATACTGAAGTATTTTCTGACACATACAGTATTTTTCCTTTTGTTCAAGTATGCAGAAGTCTTCTTCCAAGCGCTAGTTGCTGTTGTCGTATGATAATTCTATCGTGCTACCGTACGTTGTATTTAGATTTGATCAACCAGCAGCTCTACTTCCTAGAGATCTGTTTGTTATGTGACAGTCCAAATTTAGAATGACAGAGTATTGGGCACATTTTCTATCGACACCTGTCAATCTACGCGGTTTTGATTGCGATTGAGGGTTGTCTTCTCTTTAATTGGCTGATGACTTGTGGAAGATTTCAATTATGCCAAACTAAATTAGTGAGTCCTCGTGGCAGGACTTGTCAGCAAACGACAGCCAGAAGTTTTCATTATAGGATCAAGTTTAAAACAAATGAACTGGGCTCGGTGTTTGAAAGCTAAATTCTTGGATTGACAATGCGTGCTTTGCATTTCTTATCAGTTTACATTACAGCTTAATTTATTGCTAAGAAGCCTTGTGTTTGAGATCATGTCATCCTCCGTCCATTATGTTATAGTGTTCATTCTGTTCATGACAGGACGAATGTTCGCCCACTCAAATGACCTCACTCCTAATGTAAACGGAACACACAACTTTGGGTAATACTGTTAACCGCCGCTTGTACGTTACGCTACGCAAGTTAGGATCAATGGCATTCAGGCGAGTTTCCTTTGTTCTGAAATACTTTGTTACCCATACACCACAGAAACGAATACCTCAAGACGGTTTTCAGTAATCCCACTTATGATTGTTATTGGAATTGTTGAGCTATTCTTCTGTGAAAGGAAATTTCGGCGCATGTTTTCACATTGATGGGCCGTAATTTTTTGCACAGTTTCTCCAGTCAGTAACATTAACTTCGTTGTAATTCGAAAATTATGTGCTTTGATTCTGTTCCGGTACCCGGTACACTAGAAGTAAAACCCAGGTATATTCCATTCCGCACACGGAACCGTAAACACGAAGGGAAGGCTGAATGGTTAGGATTTGTGTCAGTTATCTTGCATTTTAGGAGGTAATTTTCGCCGGTAAACAATCCTTTTAGAGTGCGAGAATGTATTGTCTTAGCCGAAATAAACACGTCGAGACTGTTTCTTAGGCTTACAGTCGGGACGTTTCACAATGCATTTCGCATGAACTGTGAATTAGCTGCCCGGTCAACTCATGATATGTAACATCTGTTGTTCAGCAATCAGGAAACAGGAACACGATTTCTCAAAGGATTAAGAATTTTAATCTTATTCTATACTCGAGAATTTGTCTATCATGGTTCAAATCAGTCACAGGAAAGGAAAAGGGACGGTGACTACATGTATCTAGTTCGTATCTAAGTTTTATTATTCGATTTTATTTGATTTACTCTCTTTTACTTTTGCTCCTGAGGATGATTAGATTAGATAACATAATCATAGGAATTAATTTTGTATATGTCGAAAAACTTGTCACATCGTCATGCGAAAAACAAGATGAATCTAACAGGTTGTGTTGTGTAGGTCATACATTAGCCATGTTGTTTGTACCACTATGTTGAGACTCTTGGCAACGATACCGACTCCCTTCAGCTTTTGTCATGTTTCGGGATTGCTTATGTTTTAATACTTATATTAACGACAACAACACAGCGACTAAACAATGTGGAACGCAGGATCTGTTAAGACGTGAATCATTACCAATGTTGAAATTTAGGCAGAGATATTTCCTTCTTCGTCTCCTCTCCCTGCCTTAAGTTTTATTTATCATGCTTTAATGTTCGTTTGCTTCGTACTCGCTTATTTGTTAAAAAAAGTTAAACAGCTGAAATGACTTTTTCACTGGTGAACTTGAGATCATTCTGTTTTCTTTCCTCAGATCGTACAATGGAATTCAACATTTCAAATGAAAGTGCAACTATTCCTCCACCACTGTTTCGCACAGATCCCATAAATATCGCGGGCGCAGTTGCTGTGGGACTTGTGATAGTATTTACTATATTTGGTAATGCGATCGTGTGTGCAAGCTTCTACACTTTTCGTGACCTCCGAACAATATGCAACTACTTCATTATTAGTCTAGCAATATCTGATATATTAGTGGCAATTCTGGGAATGCCTTTCTGGTTGATATTACAACTTACCGATTTATCACATAACAACGTAATAAAAGGAGACCTTTACCTGTTCTGGCAGTGTATGGATATCTTCTTTGGCACAGCATCCATTATGAACTTGGCAGCAGTGAGCGCGGATAGACATGTGGCTATTACAGCGCCATATTCCTATCCGTATGTAATGACGTCATTCAGAGCTATTCTTATTCTTTGCAGCGCTTGGATTTATGCTGTGGTAGTGTCCAGTTTACGGCTCCTTGATGACAGATGGCCGCAACGTGGTGGCTATCACTATTTTGTATTCATCGCAAGCTTTGGACTTCCACTATTGTTTATGACTGCAATGTATGCTAGAATTTATATCGTAGCTAGGCGACAAGCTCGACGAATTGGTCGAAGCCGGAACTATAGCACTGACGTAAAAGCTGCTAAGACAATAGCCGTTGTGATTGGTGTATTTGTTTTCTGCTGGGCTCCTTTCTTTGTGTCGGTGATTGGCTATATAAACAACAGATACTTTTATCCTCTAACTATATATAAATGTGTGAAATGGTTAGAATACCTAAACAGTTGCTTGAATCCTATACTGTATACATGTTTAAACAAAACCTATCGAAGGGCCTTCAAGAGACTTTTTACTCGTTGGCGAGGACGGTTGGAGCGAACTCGCGAGGAGTCTCTGACGACAATAGGAACCTTATCCAGAAGACTCACCTTACCTCGGGGATCAATTTTTGCCTCTCAAGCTGGTACGTTTTCCAGCTCGTCTTCAAAGGAACTAAGTAATGGCGAATGTAGAAGGAAACTAAGTAGAAAAGGAAGTAGAAGAGAGAAAACCGAGAATCCTTCGCCAACTTTCATATGATACATGTACTGACAATTTGTACCCAAACCATCTACGTTGATAAGTACTTAGCTCTTATCGAAAACGCAAAAAGTAAATAAATAGGTGAAATGAGCTTAGAAATAGATAAATTGATAAATAAATAAATGAATAAATAAATAGACAAGTAAACAACCAAAAAAGTGTAAATAAGGATAAAAACAGTCATGCAGATCCTTCCTTAGCGCTGACAGAATTTATTTATTTGGCAGGCACTAAGGAACATTCAAAGCTCCGGCCTTATAGGGGCTAGAAACTCTCGTATAGGTCAATTTAAAGGGGGCACTATCATAAAGATTTTGTTTAACTTTGATCATGATTTTCCTCATACGCGAAAAATGCAGAACAGCAAGTTACTGTTCGTTAATCATTGACAATAAGGGCCACAAGAAGGGCGACAAGAAGGGCGATACTCTCAACTTATTCCTGGCCAAGAGATGTAACTTGCATTTTACTCGTTCTGTATTCAGTTAATTTTCGGCCAGTGCATGAAACGAAAGAAGATTGCTTCATTCAAATCATCGCTGATCGCGATTTAGATCGAGAAATGCGAATAATTTTATGACAACAGACCTCGAACCACGTGACCCCAAATTCACGCGAGCTTGGATAATTCATTGTTTTGGTCCGTGAATCAAATCATTTCCAAAAGTAGCACGTGGGGGACAAAAAACTAATAAAGAAGAAAAGAGCTGTCAAAGGATGTAAACGGCCTCCTTGATTTTTAATTGGAATTTTAAAAAAATCAAGGAGGCCATGCACATCAACACGTTCTTTAAATTCCCAAGTGAAACATCTTAATTTATTCCTTTCATGCTAATTAGTCTGTGTTATTTTAATATTTTCGCTTTTTTTTCTGTCTCGCGCCTTAATCCTTGATTATTCTTATTTTCAACTCACATTGTTAAACTATTTATTGCTCAGTGATTTTCAATTGGTATTCTTGTACCTTTAACGATGGATCATGTCTAAAAACGTGTTTTGTTATTTAATATAAGCTATCACAATTTCAAACACATCGTTTGTACTGCTAAGAAGCCTTGGTATAATCATCATCATCATCATCATCATTATTATTATTATTATTATATGGGCAATAATAATATTATTATATAGGTAAATTTAAAGGGGCACTATCATAAAGATTTTGTTATTTTGACATTCTTTTTAACGAGTTATCTTCTGTATATTATTTTGTATATTAAACGTGTTGGATGAAAAAATTTTTAAAAAACATTATTATCATTATCATTATCACTATCATTATCATTATCATTATCATTATCATCATTGTCATTGTTATTACAAGTGGGACCGACAAAACAATACTATGCGTGGTTAAAGTAAATTAATAATCTGCTTATGGCTGTTGTTGCTGTTGTAGGTCACAACAGAGCTTGTATTGTAATTTATTGGTTATTAATAAATGTGCTATATTAAAACCATTTGTATGGTTCCAGACATTACTAATGTTATCAATGAAAATGACCAAGAAGTGTAAACAATTCAATCCGATCAATTAAGCATAAGTTTTGTAAATTTTGACACTGATTTAGGCTAGTCAATCAATGATCAATCAATAAAACTTGTCCCACAAATTATTGATTTCATTCAGTGTACCAATGGTCACAAAAACATGCACCATTAAGTGTTCATCAAGAGCTATATCAGTCACTTAAATGTCATCAGCTGATATGAACTATCACAGACTATTCATTTTCTCAATTATCGTATGACAATGTGAAGCATAAAAACTGGTCAGACCAGATATCAGTTACTTGGCATTCAGGCTCTGCTGGTTAATAAAGCTTGGTTACTGAGGTCTCATGATACTTGGTGTAAGAAAACCTTACAGTGCAATAGGTGTGAGGTTATACACTGTTCAAAGGAAAACGACTCACCAGTTTTACATGTAGCTGCTGTCAGTGTATAAGTACAAGCTTTCATTGTAAGAACTTCACGAACTTTTTTACTCGAAATCTAGCCCTCCAGTTGTAATTCATGTAACTCATAAAGTGAGCCTTTTGGCATAAAACTGCTACATCAATGCAAATGATTTCAATCTTTCTTGTAAGCAATCTGGAGAGCTCTCTTGAGTAAAAGCGATAAAATATCATTGCATGAAAGATTATTCCAATTTATGCATGATACTTGCAGAAACAAAGCTTCAAAAAAAAAAATCAGGACTGAATTGCATTCCAACCCATGACCACTGTGATTCTTCCAAGTGCTCTACCAACTGACCTGTTGACTGAAATCAGTTGTCTGGCGCAAAAACAAAAATCAGTCTAAACGAAAACACCCTAGCAATTCTTTTGATACGTTCAAGATTTAAATTGCTTTTGGGCATGGTCATATTGTTCCGATACGAGAAATGTAACTTTTTTTATTTCTGATGCCAACCATGGGGTAGGCCAGCAAAGAGTGCTTTTTTGCCGTTCTATGACCTTGAGATTATTAAAATCAAATTCGTGGTTGTTTTTCATACA